ACCCGTGTAGACCAAGACTTATCATCGATGTTGGATTACTCCTCCCTCCGAACTCCATCTTCATGAGCTTCTAGAAAATTCATCTCAACAGAGGGAAACGCCCCTTTGGGAAACAACCGTTTGAAGATTCTGAAGCGCACCCAAACACCATTCCCAGGACTACAGTGCCACCACTCAACCTGACTGTTGCGTTTTGGCGATCCTGAGCCGTGCCAGAACACCATTCCTGGGATTCCAGCACCGCGAATCAACGCAACTGTTGCGCCCTGACACACTTGAATCGCTCCAAAGCGCTATGTTTGGTGCGCTGGCCATGGGAACCCGTAGAACTCTTGCAACAGTTTTAGCCTGATCATGGTAACGTTACAGCGGGGTTCGTGCCCTGAGAAGGAGGACCTCTTAGAGCAGTCCCTCCTTGGAGGGAAGCGCACCAGGCTCGTCAGAAGACGCGGCGGGCCTCCATGCCCCCAAGCTGGTACACCTTGGGTACATGTTGGGAGTTCACTTGGTCTTATTCTCTTGCACAGGGTGTCTAGAGCTCCGACCACTTTATTCCGCGTCGCGACGCACACCCACCTCCCCCTCCTAACGCACCACATCACCACCTCCCATCCCCCAGTGGGAGCCCAGCCCACTGCCCCCTCTGCCACGACCACTTTATTCCGCGTCGCGACGCACACCACCTACCCCACCTTTCCACCCGCGTCCCCGCGCCCCAGTCGCCCCCCCGCCCGATGCCCTCTCCGCCCCGACAACTGTATTCCGCGTCGCGACGCATACCACCTCCCCCACCACTCCCCCCGCGTCCCCAGCGCCACAGTGGGACCCCCGTCCCGTGGCTCTCTGACCCGAGCCCCCCCGCGTCCCCAGCGCCCCAGTGGGAGCTCCTCCCCGTGCCCCCTCCGCCCCGACAATTTATATCGCGTCACGACGCACACCGCCCTCCCCCCTCCCCCCCACGTCCCTGGCGCCCCAGTGGGACCCCCGACTCTCCCCCCCCTCTGCGTCCCCAGCGCCGGGACCCCCGCCCCGTGGCTCTCCGCGTCCCCAGCGCTATTCTCTTGCGCAATTGTGCTCTAGAGCTCGGATTTTTTATTTTCGCTCGTCGTCGTCCCTGGTCCGGTCCTGGCCTTGAGCCCAACCTCCCCCCCTGGTCCTGGCCCCAGCCCCCCTCGCCCCGCTGGCCCTGGACCCAGCCTCCCCCCCCCGGCCCTGGCCCCAGTCCCCCTCGCCCTGGACCTTCTATTTCCGTTCGTCGTCGTCCCCCTGGTCCGGTCCTGGACCTGGACCCAGCCTCCCCCCCTGGTCCTGGCCCCAGCCCCCCTCGCCCCGCTGGTCCTGGCCCTGGACCCAGCCTCCCCCCCCCTTCGGCCCTGACCCCAGTCCCCCTCGCCCTGGCCTTTTATTTTCGTTCGTCGTCGTCCCTCTAGTCCTGGCCCTGGGCCCAAAACCTCCCCCCCTGGTCCTTGCGTGAATCGGGGAAGCTACCGAACCATGTTCCTGGAGGCCCTCCCGGGAACATTAATTTTGAAACCATTTCCCCGGACAGTGCGGTGACGTTTACCTGGCTGGGGAGTCAAAACTGTGTATACCTTTTTTGCCCGGGGCGGAAATTCGGGCAGTTCTCATTATATACTAATGCGTGTTGCATGGATTGTACCTCGGTCGTTCGGCCCTCGGCCGGCGACCGTTTAGATTGCCGCGCCCACATGCCTCCACTGTGTTGCGTTCCGAGCTCTGGGCCCGCCAGTTCTCTCAGATTCCGAGTGCGGCGGCCCGACTTTGAGGCCGCCGCGGCTTCGATAGCGGATGGCCAGCTTGCCAATTCAGTCGTACATCGTGTCACGGACTCGGTGCTGACAGGGAGGCGGTGGCAACGCGACCTCCTGTGTCACGGACTCGGTGCTGACCGGGAGGCGGTGGCAACGCCACCTCCTGGATCACTTCAGGTAGGCATTCTGTGCTTGAGGCGGAGGTGGCGGCAACGCCACCCCTGCCTGCGGACAGAAGCTGCCCGTAACCACTTTGGCTCAAGGACTGTTCGCACTGAGCGCGAAAATGGTCCGCTCCCGAACCGATGAGAGCGAGCGCGAGCGCCTCCTGACTCGCCTCGCTGTCTCTGTAAACACAATCTTGAGAGCACGATTCCGACTACCCGTGCCACCACATTTGAGACAGCCATTGCCCATAGGGCCTCCAGAGGCCCTGAGGCTCCTGAGGAGATTGGCAAGAGGGCAGGACATCTTAAAGTAGACGACACATGTTTGGAGGAGAATCCAGCAGTGGTGGGCTCGGAGACGGAGATGTCGATTAGCTCTTCAACGCCTGGCCCCAGTCCCCCTCGCCCCGCTGGCCCTGGCCCTGGGCCCAGCCTCCCCCCCCCGGCCCTGGCCCCAGTCCCCCTCGCCCTGGACCCTTTATTATCGTTCGTCATCGTCCCTGGTCCGGCCCTGGCCCTGGACCCAGCCTCCCCCCCTGGTCCTGGCCCCAGCCCCCCTCGCCCCGCTGGCCTTGGCCCTGGACCCAGCCTCCCCCCCCTTCGGCCCTGGCCCCAGCCCTCGCCCTGGACCTTTGTTTTCGTTGGTCGTCGCCCCTCTGGTCCTGGCCCTGGACTTAGCCTCCTCCTCCGGCCCTGGCCCCAGCCCCCTTCGCCCTCGCCCTGGCGTCGTGCTCCCCCTGGCTCTGGCCTGCTTCCCCTGGCCCCCTCGCCCCCGTCCTCCTGCCCTGGCCCAGAACCCAGCCTCCCTCCTTGGCTCTGGCGCCCCCTGGCCCTGGCCCCAGCCGTCGTCGTCCCCCTGGCTCTGGCCTGCTTCCCCTGGCCCCCTGGCTTCGTCCTCCTGCCCTGAACCCAGCCTCCCTCCTTGGCTCTGGCGCCCCCTGGCCCTGGCCCCAGCCCCCCTCGCCCCGGCCCTTTTATTTTCCTGGTTCGTGGTTCGTCGTCGTCCCCCTGGCTGTGCTTCCCCTCGCCCCCGTCCCCCTTCCCCTCGCCCCCGTCCCCCTGGCCGTGGCCCTTTTCGTGGTTCGTCGTCGTCCCCCTGGCTCTGGCCCGCTTCCCCTGGCCCCGTCGCCCCCGTCCTCCTGCCCTGGCCCTGAACCCAACCTCCCTCCTTTGCTCTGGCGCCTCCTGGCCCTGGCCCCAGCCCCCCTCGCCCCGGCCCTTTTATTTTCCTGGTTCGTGGTTCGTCGTCGTCCCCCTGGCTGTGGCCCGCTTCCCCTCGCCCCCGTCCCCCTGGCCGTGGCCCTTTTCGTGGTTCGTCGTCGTCCCCCTGGCTCTGGCCCGCTTCCCCTGGCCCCGTCGCCCCCGTCCTCCTGCCCTGGCCCTGAACCCAACCTCCCTCCTTTGCTCTGGCGCCCCCTGGCCCTGGCCCCAGCCTCCCTCGCCCCGCCCCTTGTATGTTCGTGGTTCGTGGTTCGTCGTCGTCCCCCTGGCTGTGGCGCGCTTCCCCTCGCCCCCTCGCCCCTGCCCCCCTGGCTGTGGGCCGCTTCCCCTCGCCCCCTCCCCCAAACCCAAACCTCTGGCCCCTGGTCCGAGCCCCAGCCCTCTGGCCCTGGCTGAACTCAGCCTGTCCCCTGGCCTTGACCCCACTCGCCCTGACCCTGGCCTTGGCCACAGCACTCCTCGCCCCGGACCTTGTATATTCGTGGTTCGTGGTTCGTCGTCGTCCCCTTGGCTCTGGCCCTCCATCCCCTGGCCCTCTCGCCCCCCACATGCCCATCCTCCTCTTTCTCTTCTCAAATGTGCAAGAGCCAGGGCACGCGTGCCACTTGTTTCGGGTGCTCGCTGACGGGGGGCAATCAACCTGGGGTGAAGAAGACGTGCACCTTTCGTGCCCACCGTGCCAGCTTAGGCAGGTTCCTTGAGGGCCCCTTTAGGGCCACTCTCCTGCTTCCAGCAATCCTCGATCCCCCACGCTCGTGCCCCCCACGTTGCGCGTCCGCCTGCCAGAGGCGCCCCCTCTGATAGGGCGAGGAAGAGCGATTGGCTCAGGATGCGTTCCAGGAGCTGTGGAACATCTATCGTACTTCGTTCCTGCAACCACTGTGAAGCATCAGAGAATTGGGGAACTACTGGGAATCCTGACACGTATCATGCTCGCGACCTACTGCTCAACACGATCACGTCTGCATTGTCGGAAATCAATAATTCGCCGGCCCAGCGGGCCAAGAGGCGTGCTAAGATCTCCGGTAACTACTTGACAATATTTCTAGTTCGCGCGCGCGGGGCGGCCCCTGGGGGCCCCCGGACGGAAAAGTACCCTGGCTGACCCCCGGCCGGGTCCCGGTCGGGTCTCGGGCGACCCCCGGGGGGAGGCTATTTTTCGGCACCCTCACGAGGATCGTGGCCTCCGAAGGGGGGGGCTGCAATCGACTACCCCCTCTCCCGCCCCAAAAGGCCCCAAGAGCCTCCCAAGAGGCCCCAGGGAAGCCCAAGACGCCGCCAAGGAGCCCCAAGAGGCCCCCAAGAAGCCCCCAAGAGGCCCCCAAGGGGCCCCAAAGAACGCTCCAGGGCCGGCGGAATGAGCGAAGCGATAAAAATGATACGTAGTATTGTTAGTCATGTTCTTATTGTTTCTGGCAGCGGCCGTTATGTTGGGCGTGGGGGATTCGGGCCCCAAGTAGCGGTAATACCCGGGCGGAGTGGGGCACGTCGCGGCGGAGGTGCGCTGCTCCGCCACAGCATGCGCGCGGGCACCAGCATGTGGGGGCGTCCAAGCCCAACCCCTACGCACAATTGTGAGGAGGAGGAGGAGGAGGAGGAGGAGGAGGAGGAGGAGGGAGGAGGAGGGAGGAGGAGGGAGGAGGAGGAGGAGGAGGAGGAGGGGTGGGGTGGGGGGGGGGGGGCGGGGGGGCGGACGACGACCGTTAGGCGCCAGAGGATGAAGCCACACAGTCTCTCCTGTGATCTGATGGGCGCTCTCAGCGCGACGGGGCGCTCACCGAGCCCCCCCCCCCCCCGGGCCTGAGGAGGGGCCCGCCGCGCAGGCAGCCCGCCGCGGCGGCTACTCCAGCGCGCCCGCGAGCTCCGCCTTCTCCGCCTCCTCCGCCTGCGCACGCCGCCGGGAAGGGAGGGGGTGGAGGCGAAGGAGGAGGAGGAGGAGGAGGAGGAGGACGAGAACGAGGAGGAAGATGAGGGGCAAGGTCGAGAAGAGGAGATGAACGGGGAGGGGAGGATGGGGATGAGCATCAGCAGCAGAGGGGGAGGGGGAGGGAGGAGGAGGCGGGGAAGGAGGAGGAGGAGGAGGCGGAGGACAAGTGCAAGCCCAAGGCACATCAACGATGTTGCAATGCAGCCTCCCTCCAAGGTCCTTCTTCACATGAACATGCTTCTTGTAATTACGGGGGACGCCCCATTGGAAGACAACCGTCTGATAGTCCTGAGTCGTGCCAACACACCGTTCCTGGGACTTAAACGCCGCGAATCAACGTGATTGTTGCGTACTGGCAATCCTGAGCCGTGCCAGGACACAATTCCTGTGACGTCCACACCGCGAATCAAAATGACTGTTGCGCCCTGACAACCTTACCCCACTCCTGAATTCCATTCCTGGGAATGAAACCGTACGGAATCGTTGGAACGGCTGCACACGTTTACGGCGACTGTGCGTGGCGCTGCGGCGAGAACCATGCCTTGAAACGGCATTCCCCAGCCCTTGAAACGGTTCCAAACTGTTGAGACGCATGTGCGCTGCGCCGAAGCGAGGATCACATTTTGAAAGTGGCCCGCTCAACATCCTTGATGCTGTTGCAAGCTGTTCGGCGAAATTGCGTGCACTGAAGCCCGAGCCACGTTTCGAAGGAACGGCTCGCTCTCCACCCTTGAAGCGTAAGACGTATGTGCGCGGCGCCACGGCGACAGCCACATTTTAGCATTTTGAAAACCCGCCGACCTCCATCCCTGAAACGGTCAGATCCTGGCCGACCCGGCAAAATGTCAGCGGCTCCACAAAAACAGCCCCCAATACACATGTTCTTTGTTATTTAATCTGGTTGTGGGCTCCGGTTGAGACTTCAAACTTCAAGATCGTAAACGGTGAGGAAGTCTCAAACAAAAACGCACGGTCCGCCCGACCGACACGTCTGCAGGTACGCCAGGGAGGCATCATTCACGAGGACAACGGATGGAGTGGGAAGAGGAGGAGGAGGAGGAGGAGGAGGAGGAGGAGGAGGAGGAAGGAGGGGAGGGAAGGAAGGAAGAGGAGATGCAAGGACAAGAAGGAGAGATGGAGGGAAGGAGGGGAACGAGTAGCAGCAGAGGGGGGGAGGAGGAGCAGGAGGAGGGGGAGAATAGAGGGGAAGGACGAGGAGGAGGAGGAGGAGAAGGAGGAGGAGGAGGATGAGGGGGAGGAGGGGGAGGAGCAGGAGGAGTAGGAGGAGGAGGAGGAGGGAGGAGAGGAGGAGGAGGAGGAGGAGGAGGAGGAGAAGGAGGAGGCTTCGTCGTAGAGCAGAGCGCTGCGCACCGCAGACGTGGTCAAGAAGCGGCGGCCTCGCTTCGTGGAAGCCTTGGCAACAGGACTCCTTCAAGCCGTGGTAAAAAACTCCTTCCCCTCCTTCGTCGGGGGGAGGCGCACGTGCAGTCAGGAAAAGGGAGGGGGGAGGAGGACGGGAGGGGTCAGGAGAGGTGGTGAAGAAGATCAAGGGGAGACGGAGGGGGGAGAGGAGGGAAGAAGGTCGCGGAGGGGAAAGGAGTAGGAGGGGAAATGGGAGGTGGGGAGGAGGGAATGATGAGGTGGGAGGGGAATGAGGAGAATTGGGAGAGGAGGAGGAGAGCGGGCAAGATGTTGAGGACAAGTGATGGGGACAAGAAGTGGTATGCTCATGGGGACAAAATGGGGGGAATAGCTAATAGCGAGGAGGCAGGAAGGATGGCAAGATGGCACGGATGAGAAAGGACAAAGACATGCGGGTTGAGGGGAACGGATGATACCGTCGATGATGACGATGGTGACGAGGAGGGGAAGGACGAGGCGCGCGAGAAGGGAGGAGCAGGAGGAGTGACTGCATGACGTGATCCACCAGGACAGACAGGGAACAGAAAGAGCCGAGGGGTGGACGGAGAGGAAGGGGCATAAGAAGGCGGAGGGGGAGTCTCCTCTACTCCGGGGCAAACAAGACGTGCGGCAGAAACGCAACCGCAATGGGATCTGGACACGACTTGCCTGAAAGAGGCCAGCAGGCGGCACAACGTTTCACTTCCAGGGGTGCGCGCAGACCTCGAGAGGACAGCGCTGGATCCCCCCATCCCTGGGCGCGCGGAGCGCATCAGGGGCGGCGCCGGAGGCGCAGCCACGCGGGGTACAGCACAGATCCAAGAAATCAGCGCGAAGCTCCGAAACTTGATGTCAGTGTACGGCAAGTTCGCCCCGTGTCGACCCTGGCGTTTGGTTCCTGACACCGCGGAGATCGTTCAAAATTGAACGATTAGCCCTTTAAAAAGGCCGGATCGTTCAGCCGACGCTGGGCCCCAGGCGGCGTTCAAGCTGAAACGCCCGCGCTGGGGTCGCCGCCGGTCGACACGGCGCGAACCTGCCGTAATTGTTCTCCAGACATTGCTTGTACTTAGGGGTCTTTACTTGTCACTGGGGAACTGGGCGGGTGTGGCGGTCTGGCGGCTATGTTGTCGCCGTCTCCGCCCAGTCGCCGCCAGTCGTCTGGGCCTGCGTGGCGGCCTGGCGGCTATGTTGTCGCCGTCGCCGCCCCGTCGCCGCCTCGTCGCCACCCGTCGTCTGGCGCCGCCTCGTCGCCACCCGTCGTCTGGGCCTGTGGCGTCGTCGCCGCCCAGTCGCCGCCTCGTCGCAGGTCGTCATCTTGGTCTGTGTGGCGGTCTGGCGGGCATGTTGTCGCCGTCGCCGCCACGTCGCCGCCCGTCGTCTGGGCATGTGTGGCGGTTTTGCACCACACAGAGTGCACAACATAGATTGCACATCGTACCTCGCTCCGCACACACATATACATATATATATATATATATGCATAGTGTGTCACACATATTACACCACATACATTGCTCCACATTTTTTGTCTACAAGAGATTGCAGCACATTGATCCACAACAAATGTATATACGAATGCATGTATATGTGCATGTACGTACGTATGCACGTACGCATGCATGTATGATATGATATGCTATGGTATGGCATGTTATGGTATACGATGCATGCATGTATGTATGTGCGTGTGCGTATGTATGCATCGATGAATGCGTGCATGCATGTCTGTATGTGTAGACGTATGTATGTACGTATGCATGCATGCATGCATGCAGGTAGGTAGCATGTGTTCATGTATGTAGGTACGCACGCACGCATGTATATGCATGCATGCATGCATGCAGCAATGTATATATGCATGTTTGTATATGTGTGCATGCATGCATGTATGTATGTATGCATGTATGTATGTACGTATGTATGTGTGCGTGCGTATGTACGTATGTATGTATGCATGTATGTATGTATGTATGTATGTATGTATGTATGTATTTATGTATGTATGCGTGTATGTATGTATGTCTGGATGTATGTGTGCAGGTATGCATGTCTGCCTGTCTGTGTGTCAGTCTGTCTGTCTGTCTATCTGTATGCATGTATATGTGTGTGTATGTATGCATGCATGCATGCATGTATGTATGCATACACACATATATATACATATAGTTATGCACGTGTGTGTGAATGTGTGGGCGTGTGTCTATATTGATATATATATATACACATATGAACACACACACACACTTATCTCCACCACCGTGCCTCGGGCACGACGTGGAGTGCCCCAAGCCTCATGCAGCACTGAGAAGGCTTTGCTGCTGCTGCAGCCAGAATTGTACGCCTTTCAAACCCCAGAACAGTCGTTTCCTGGGCCAGCCCGGGGTTCGCTGGGGTCTGGCGACATCGCTTGCGTCGGCCTATCCCGCCTAGGAGGGCTCCAAACCGAGCCCAGATGGCTTTAAGAGGCCCCCTAAATCGTCAAAGAGGGCCCCAAATCGCTCCACGATCACTCAAGACGCCCAAGCCGGCCTCAACATGGCCCAAGAGGCCTCCAACACGCCACAAGAGGCATCCAAGAGGCCTCCCAAGAGGATCCCAAGAGACACATATCTGTGATCGCTTAAAACTTTTGAAAGATTTTGGTGTTCTCGCCTGTTCGGCGTTCCGACGCTCCAGGACGGCCCAAGAGAGGAAACGCGAACCGAAAATACAAGCCTTCCGTTCCAACAACAGGCCCCCAGGAGGCCCCAAGAGGCCCCACGAGGCCCCCAAGAGGCCACCAAGAGGCCTCCCAGAGGCCCCCTGGGACGCCAAAAGAGGCTCTAAGAGGCCCCAAAACGGCCCGCAAGAGGCCTCCAAACTGCCTCCAAAAGGCGCCAGAGAGGCTCCCAAGTGAGGTCGCCACGAGCATCCAGTAGGCTTTACCCACAACCCAGGCACGGTGGCGGGATGGACCGGAGGCCATTTTATACATACGCAAATATATGTGTGTATATACATATATGTATACGTGTATATGTGTTAAATCTATATATGTAGACACACGCGCACATGCATATACACATACATACATACATACATACATACATACATACATACATGCATGCATACATACATACATACATACATACATACATACACATATACATATATACATACATTCATTCATACATAGGTACATGCTTTCATACATGCATCCACACATGCATACACGCATACTTACATACGTGCATGCATGTCTGTACACATACAGACACACATACATGTATACACACGTACATTCGTGCATGCATACATGCATACATACACGCACACATGCATCCATACATACATACGTATATGCATGTATGGCATTCCATTACATTTCAAAACATTACATGCAAGTTCATTACATTCCATGCCATCCCATTCCATTCCATACATACATACATGCATGCACGCACACACACATACACACATACACACATACACACATGCATAGACGCATGCATGTATGCACACATGCATTGCAGACATACATACTTGCACACATGTTTATAACCACATAACCATAC